AACATCAAAACATAGCAACCGGTACAATGAACAAAATGTCAGATAGTGGTAGCTTATCAAGTGTTCAATCTTCAGGTAGCGATGGTAGTCTTTCTAGTCAGTCACACAATTTAAATCAAACAAATTCTTCTGTTGATTCTTCCATGTTGTCAAATTCTATAGTGTCTTGGAATAAAAAATCACAGGTACATAATACATATAAATTGTGTATTATTTAGATTTTTTTATTGTTAATTTTAATACAAAAAATTTTTTCTTAGATTTCTGATGTAATCAGAAAACGTCAATATCGTATTGGTCTCAACCTTTTCAATAAGAAACCTTCAAAAGGTATTATTTACCTTGTACGCAAAGGATTCTTGGATAATTCCCCTCATGCAGTTGCAAGATTTTTAATATCTCGCAAAGGCTTAAGCAAACAAATGATTGGTGAATATTTAGGAGATTTACAAAATTCATTTAATGCGGCTGCCTTGGAGTAAGTTATGTTATTCAAAAAAATCAATAAAACTTAAAATTAGAATAAATAWAAATATAATTGTACGATTCTAAAATTATTTTCTTTTCAAAAACTAAAAAATGATTCAATTAAATTAAAGTATAAAAACTTAATATGTTTATTGTTTTACATTTTTGGATTATAATTATGGTGTGATTAATATATTTTAGATAAGAGAAATTAAGTTTAAATTTTTCATATTTTAATTTATTGTAAAACTCAAATTTTTGATTTTTAGGTATTTTGCTCAAGAAATAGATCTCTCTGGTATGCAAGTGGATGTTGCATTACGAAAGTTTCAAACTTATTTCCGTATGCCTGGTGARGCACAAAAAATTGAAAGAATCATTGAAGTTTTTAGCCATAGATATTGTCACTGCAACAGAGATGTTGTTGCAAGATTGAGAAACTTAGACACAGTATTTATATTGGCATTTGCAATTATTATGCTTAATACTGATTTGCATACACCTAATCTAAAGCCAGAACGTAGAATGAAAATGAACGATTTTATCAAAAATCTAAGAGGTGAATATGTTTGAAACACTGAATAATAATATATTTATAATGTTTGTTTTATAATTTTTTTAGGTATTGATGATTGTTGTGACATTGATCGAGATATGTTAGTTGGAATTTATGAACGAATTAAAGCAAATGAATTTAAACCTGGATCAGATCATGTTACTCAAGTTATGAAAGTGCAGTCAACGATAGTAGGCAAAAAGCCTGTAAGTTGAATTAAATTGAATAGGAATCACAATTAATTTTATTATGTATGTATTTTGTATGCATGATGCAATAATAATTCACAGAATCTTGTCCTTTCATTCATTAAATATATTTTATATTCTAAACTCTACATGGACAATGATMTATATAATGAATTTATTTTACATTTTTTTTTATTTGTATTTCATAATAGTTGCGGCCTTAATATATCTTATTTTATGAACTTCCAACTAATCCAAATTTATTAGATTTGATTCAATTTTTCATCTGTTGTATTTTATATTTTAATTCTTGTCACTTCGGTTGCATTATTGGATATTAAAAAATTGAAATTAAATTTTTTTTAGAATTTAGCGTTGCCACATCGACGGTTAGTCTGCTATTGCAGACTTTATGAAGTTGCTGATATTTATAAAAAAGAACGACCTGGTGTTCACCAACGMGAGGTATTCCTTTTTAACGATCTTCTAGTCATTACCAAAATACTTTCCAAAAAGAAAAATTCAGTAACTTATACATTTCGTCAAAGTTATCCATTGAATGGTCTAACTGTTTCTTTATTTCAAATGCCATGTAAGAATATTTTTGACTTGAAATTTAAAAGTACAGAATACACGGATTTTAATAAAATTATTGCTTTTTCAGATTATCAATTTGGTATTAAGCTTACACAACGTTTAGATAACCGTCTATTGATAACATTCAATGCACGAAATGATCATGATCGCTGTAAATTTGTAGAAGACATTCGAGAATCAATATGTGAGATGGATGAGATGGAAAATTTGAGAATAGAGTCTGAACTTGAGCGTCACAGACATGGTCATAATAACCGGTAAAATTTAAAACTATATATTAAATAGGTTGTTATCTTTATAAAATTATTTTCTCTTTATATTTAGATCAGTTAATAGCAATTCGGAAAATCGAGATAGCGGAGTTGCAGATATTGATCTGGGTCCATTACCATCTCCACCAGTGCACAGTCCCAAACAACATCTGGACGATTCATTTGAAAACAGCCCATCATCACAGGCTACACCAAAACGGGCTGCTTTGACTGTTACTTGATAATATAATTAGATTTATTTTTAACATTCTGTGAAATTTTTTATATAGCACCAAAATATTTTTATTTGTTTGTTTTTTTTTTTAATTCACCTATTTTATTATATAATATTTGTTCTATATTTTTGGCAATAAGTCATCAGTATTAATATTCTATGACAAATTAATTATTATTACACAACTACAAGGTGGTGCAGACTTAATTAATCGTATAGTACAACCAGAAATATATTTTTCAGAAGTTCACAATGTTATATATTATTGTAAAGTAATCTCGTGCCAGATTAAGAATATAATCAGTCGCTTTTGTAGRCTAGCACAAAATAACTTTGTGCTCTACTGTCAGCATATAATTAACTATTATGATTGTTATTATGCACGCCTAGTTATATTCTTATTCCAGTAAGGACGTAATTAAGGGGGATGAGAGGCATATATCCTCCCCCCTCCGAAAAAAAAAAATTATTATTGCTAACATTTTATATTTTGTGGGGTAGATGTAATCCTCCTCCAAACCAAATTCTTAATTACGCCACTATATTCTAGCATTGGTATTATCTAAGTATAAAAAAAATTCAATTGATTCTGAACTATGTAATCATTGAATGTTCTTCAGGTGTAAAGTATGTGGCTATGTCTGCACCACACTGTATTTTAAATTATATAAGTATACTACTACTTACATTTATGTTACATTTTTATAAAGTCAAAATGTATTAATATTTTTAATTAGATTTGCTGTGTTCTTGCTTTTGAATTATAACATTTAAAAACATATTTATTATAATAATTGTCTTTTTATGTAACAACTATATGTGTAATTTTTTTCTTTGTCATTTGTATTTATATTGTAACATGTCAATATTTTTGACAATTTTTAATATCAACCTCAAAAAAACTTGTAACAAAAAAATTATTGTATTTTTATCTACTCTAAAAATTATTGAAAAATTATGAACCTATATGTAATAAAACCAAACTGATAACTAAATATCTTTTTATATTGTATTTATTTAATAGTATATTTTTACCAGAGCTTAAAACTAGTGATTTTCCTGGAATTTTGGGAACTTTAAACCATTTACCAATATTTAAAACCTATTTTTATTCCCGGTTAATGTGACTATTTTTCAGTTAACATAATGTGTTTTAACCGATTAAGAAACGAWTACTATTATTTATAAATACCAAGTACYGACTACTGAGTACTGTTACAATGAACTAAAGTATGTTTAATTTATTTTAGCTACATTAATAGTGATAAGCATGTAGCTACTATAATAGTTTGATAATCAATAACTTCTAAAAACTATTCTTAAATCATACTAAATGGGTGTGATATAATTTTTTTTGACAATTTCAATATCAGTTTTTGACCCTGTTTTAGATTCTGAACGAAGCGAGGAATATATTGATTTTACAATGACGTATATATATTTTTTTATGTCATCACATTTTTGAGTAGAAATACTTTGATTTTTGATTTCAGTCCTTCTTTGAATAGGAAAATCCATCTAGTTGRTTATTTTGGTGGTCAAAATTTCCAGCAGTTTTCAAAAGCACCAGGAAAACCCCTAAAAAATGGGAATATTTAAGCATAATTAGTTTTTAACAAAATAGATTTTTTTATTTTGCTGTAATTCAAAAACGAATAATAGTAAATAATCGAAATTTTCACCAAAAGTTCATATTAGCGTTATCTATTTACGATTAAAATTTTAAAATATTTTGACTTTTAAGCTATTTATAGACAATTAAAATTTTCGRTTTTTCTAAGTGTTTTTTGAGATGCCTATAAAAAAAAATTGGCTACCCAAAAAATCTTTAAAATTTAATACAAGGTTTATTATGAGTTGTGCCTATCGTAATAAATGAAAATCAAAAATTGTTAGTCACAATTTTTATTTATAATAAGCATTTAAATTTCAAATGTTTACAAAATATGTCAAAATAGCGAAAATTCGCATAGAATTATGAAGTTGAAAATTCATAAAATTGTTATGATTTATACCTAAGGTTAGGTTGATGGTCCTTTAAAATCTATTCCTACTTCACCTTCTTGTTCGATTTAGTCGGTCTCTTCTGTGATGCTTTCTCCGTTATATAGTTYCCGTCTATCATTTATATCTTCCATATCAATTAATAGTTCACCCCTTTTATTTTTTAACTTAACTGCTTTTCGGTTGCTTTATTTGGCAAAAATAAATCGGTTTTTGTTTATTTAAGAGATCAATTAAATTTACCATATTTAATACCGGGTCATTGTCATATGCATATTTTGCTTAATACAGCAAAATTTGGTTTACAAAAGTTGACTTATGATGTTGAAAATTTAATTTTAAAAATTCATTCTGAATTTTAAGWGCTAAAAAAATACATGAACTTAAAAACTTTATTGATTTTATGGATACAKAATTTGTATCGATTCTTCGTCATGTAAAAACTAAATTTCTTTTATTGTACMAAGCTATAGATAAACTTTTACAATCATGGCCCATTTTAAAATCGTATTTTATTAGTCAAGGAGAAGAAAATGTTAACAATGTTATTTGGTCTTTTATATCTGACCAAGAAAACGAACTTCGAGGTGATCAAAATCCGAGTTTACCAGAGCTATATATTTACTTTATTCATAACATTATGTATTTATTTTACATTAAAATAAAAACTTTTGAAAGTAATTTTATTGAGATAAGTGAAATTCAAAATATTTTTTAAAATTTATTAAATGAATTTAAATCATAAACAGTTTGAACTGTTGTTGTAGATGGAGGCCGGTAGTGAATTGATTCAACTGTGTGTTTGTTTTTGATGAATTGYAGGATTTCTTCTGTTGAAAATGATGAATTATAATTTTTTTTTGGTAAGACCTGTAGCAAATTTGTTAAAGTTTTCTTATAATTATTTATTTCTGTGATGTAATTTTCTTCTATTGTGTTGGTTGTTAATTTTATGAAATGAGTGTGAAGTATGTTGTTGATGAATTCTTTAATGAATATAATTTTTTTTTGGAATAGGTTGAATATATAAGGTTTATTAGTTTGATTTTGGTTCTTTATTTTGTGTTTAGGATTTAAAATGGATGGCAGCTGAAACAAATACACAATGAAAAAGATAATTTGAAGTTATGAATTATTGCTGGTATAAGAATAAAAGAAATAAAGTTACATTGTAAAATACGGCTGTCATGCAATAATTTTCTCTACCGATGGACATTATTTTATTTACATATATATTTGTATTTATAT